ATTTCGGACGTGAAAGCAAGTTTATGACAATGAAAGATTTCATTTACAAAATCGGTATGGCAGATCTAAACTACTCTCTCTCGCTCAGTCTATAGAATGCTCACTGTTATCTAAGTAGGGGTCTTGTTGGAGGTGAATTTGGGTGGTTTGTACAATCGTCTCTGGTTGCGCATGTCTAGGTTCTGTATATCGTCTTTGTTTGGTCAGTACCATGGTGCGTTGCATAGTTTTCTTAGTGTTTTAGGCTTCGAATCTTTTTAAAATTTCGTGATTCGATTTACTGGAAGAGCCGCCACAATTCAATCCATAGTTCCATGTTGGTTTGATATAGTTTTTAAACTTGTATTTTGTTATGCAAGGACATTTTGATTGTCTGTTTATTAGCTGCCAATTTGAGGACTTTAAGCTGCGCTTTCTTTTCTCTTTGTTTTGATGCTGGGTTTTCAAGTCAGGCGTCTATCGCAATGCAGACGCTAACGATATTGATAGTATGCAGCTTCGTGGAGTTCTGTTGTTGTTTAGTTTTACTTTTGGGGCAGTTTTCTTTTCTTAGAGTGAACATGTTAATACTGTTTTTGATTTTGGTTTCATTTACGGTGACTCGCCAACGATGACTCCAATCTTCGATTTTCGTTTAGAATGTTGTTGAAGATGTTGTGATGCGCAGGAGGGGTCGCTTCATTTGCAGAAAGAATAGCTGTGTCGTCGCAAAGGTGGCTATTGTAGTTCTTTCTGTTGTTGGTCAAGTCTGAAGTTGATATAAGATATAAAAAAGGTCAGAGAATACGATCTTGTGGATCTCTGGCAGAAATAGGGTTTGGAATTTCGATAGAGCGTCTGATATTTCACTTGAAATAGGCGATCGCAGAATTAAAAATATAGGATTTGGAGAAGAAATAGTATGAGTGCGGGGAGAAAGTTTTTTTTTTTATTTTAAATAGAATTCCTGTCAATACCATACCTTGTCGAATGCTTGTTGTATGTCCTAGGAATGCTGGCAGACCATATAGCTTTTTTCGCCAGGCTTTGGAGAAATTGTGTTTTACAATACGATGGGTCCTGTTCTATTGTGTGAGTGTCTCCTCTCGAAAGCCGAATTGACAGTCAGGAATGCTTCTTTTAATTATAGCTTCGGCGCTGTCAAGAGAAGTTTTTCAAATACTTTTGATCAGAACTGGTAGGCAAGCTAATAGGTCGGTATGATGTAAGCTTCGTGCAGTCTTTCGCTGGTTTCCACGATGGAATTATTTGAGCGTATTCGTCATTGACAGGGGTAATGGCTATTTCGAAGTATCGCGTTGAATATGCTTTGACGAGTTCATATCCTTACTGGCATTCTGGCAACATGGACCCGGGTAATTAGGTCAATCCTGGACTCTTTTTGCAGGATGCGTGTGTTTTTTGATTGTTTGTTTGACTTCTCCGTGAGTTGAAATGCTCTATGGGCAGAGATACACTGTAAGGCGCGTCAAATATTCTAATGCACTATTATTTTCAATAGTACTGTACATTTCTGCTGGTTTGAAACTGAAGCAAAGTGTTTTTGCTAGTTCATTCGACCTTTTCTTCTGCGCTTCTGTGGCCTTGGGACGCATGACTCCACCCGTTGCTCATCGTTCCTTTTCCGAATTGGGTGAGATGTGCTGTTTGGGGTGCTTTAGTTTCTTACGCTTGCTTTCCAAAGCGAATAATTAGTTTCACAGTAGAGTGGATAGTGGCTTGAATTGTAATGTAGAGGAATGATTTGTTTTTGTATTCTTATTGCGTGTTTAAGTTGTCTGGCTGCTGTGTTTATATTTTGCTTTTGGTCTATGGTTGTCGTGTCGTCATGAATATTCGTCGAAGTCGAGCCGTTTTCTACCACTTTTGTCTTATTTCTGCGGGATACGGTTGACGATTTATGTGATTGGGTTGCTGCTCTTGGGGTGTTGGCGTGGGCGCCTCAGCAGCGTCTTGTAATGTGTATGATAGTGCTGTATTGGCGTCTTCGGATGTTTTTGCCTCAGTTGTTTGAGCATGTGACGTTTGCAAGAATGGTTTATTGTTTTCACCGCTTTCTGCGGTAATCGCGGTAACTTGTTCCGTTGTCTTGTTACTTGTCTAGTTGTTCAGAGAGGATAGCCTGTTCCTTTTAGATATATTTGACTGATGTATTTCTACTGGGTGTGGTCTGAAAGGAAGGTCGTACAAGATTTTAACTTCTACTGTAAGTATCTGTTGACACCATTTGCTTATTGTTCCGATAGAAACAGATTGTAAATTATGCAGAAAATAAAATAAAATTTCTAGATTTTAATTGATTAATTGTTTTTCTAACTTCAGAAGGTGAGATAAATTAGATTTTTCTTGGGACAGATGCAACTTGTTTCGCTGATTCAAGCAAAACGTAATTGTTGAGCTGGTTGTTGTTAATTGGATTAGGAGAGAAGGTTTTCTGAAAATGTTTGGCTAGTAAATTAGCTTTGTTTTTGTCTGAGTACGCGATTTCCGAATCGCTTTTTAAAATTGGGATTTCTGCTTTTTCTTTGGTGATTCGCCTGATCGTAGTCCAATATTGGTCCATATTGGTCTGCTATTGGGGTGAATTTGTTTTATAATATTCTGATAATCAGAATAACGAAATTGTTCTAGTCTGTATTTATTTATTCTGGAAAATTTCATCAATTTTACTTTAAGGTCTGGTCTTCTAGTTGTTTGCCAATATCGTGTAAGGTTATATTTAGTTTTAATTAGGTTTACTATTTTCAACGGAACTGGTTTTCTAGTTTTAATACTTGCGGAATATTGTGTTGTTGACTGTTCAATTGTTTTCTCTATCGATTGAGTTATATACAGCACTTGCATATCTAATTCATTGTTAGTGTGAATTTTACTAGGGTATATTATATTGTTGTTAGGTCCTTAAACTTATTCCAATTAATTAGTCCCAAGGTTTAGTTACGTTGTAATATTTGAGCTAACAGTGAATTGGAGCAGTTTATTTTGATAATTACTGGGGACTGATCCGAGTCTAATTCCGGAAATACTGTTTGAATCAAGGGCAAATTGAAATTTTTGGTCAATACTATATCTAGTAAATCCGTAATCACATTATTGTTGTATGAATAGTGTGTTGGAGATTGGAGGACCAGAATATGAATATCCTTGGATACTGCGTAAGTAAATAATTTTGTGCCGTGGTTGGAAGTGGTATTGCATCGCTATATTTGATTTTTACTGTTTAAATCGCCAGCTAATAGAATACTATTGGAATTATTTTAAAAACATTTCATTATAACCTTTTAATGGGAATATTTTATTTGGTGGTTTATATGCCGCAACTATTTCGTAATTATTGCTACCTATATTTATTTTAATTGCTATTATTTTGAATTCTGGGGTGTTTGGACTGTGAATTGCTTCATGCTTAAAGTTGGTAGATACTAGTATGGCGACACCTCCTGAAGCTACTACTGAGGTTCTATCGTTTCTATATATTTTGTAACCTGGTATTTTAAATTTTTCATTTAGTACTAAGGGTGTTTCTGTAACACACGCAATATGTATTTTGTGGTGATGCGAAAATTGTGTAACTATTATCTGCTGTCTTTTAATACCATTAGCATTCCAATTGAACATTTTTATTTCTTGTATTTTATTTGCCATTTTGAAGAATTGGCATTAACCACTGTACTATGTTTTTAATTTGGGGTATTATAGCTGAGTTTATTTGATTTACTATTGTGTTTACGAGTTGAGTTATGTCTATTTAAGGCTGTGGGTTTGAAGGTAGTCGTTCTGTTCGCCAGGCTGTTAGTTTGCGTTGTGGGAGGCCGGGAAAGTTTTCATTGTTTAAATTAATAGAAGATTGCTCTTGTGTTTCGGTTACCTGATGCGATTTGTTAGAGTTTTTCGCCGAAAGGAAATCTGCCCGTGCCTACGAGCTTCTTGGTATACACGGCAGCCTCGGTAATTTGATGTATGACCCTCGCCGCAATTAACACGAATCGGTTTGGAATTTTTAGGAACAGTGCATTTTGAATAGTGATGGTGACCATCACAACGTACACACCTGGGCTTAACATGACAATTAGCTTGAAAATGACCGAATGTTTGACAATTTTTGCATTGTACAGGTGCATTACATTTGATTCTAGGTTGAATTTGAATTATACAATTCATGAATTTGTTTACATTGTATGTAGATTTTGCGTCTTCAGTCTCTGTTAAGTTCATGGCACAAGTTTGTAGTGGCTGTCTTTGTTTATTATATAACCTACATAATTTAATTACTGGGTAATTGAGCTGTTTGAATTCTTCGAATATTTCACTTTCTGTAAGAGATTCTGGTATTCCCTTAAACATAACTGAAAAGATGTTCATCGAAAGGTCCCTGTACGTATAAAACGACACTGATTTACCTTCACAAACTTTCTTATAGGTTCTAAAGTATTCTATATCGGTGAAGAAAACCTTGATTCCATTCTGACATGTTCTAGTGGAAAAATCGTTTTGGGCTACTGATTTAATATCATCTAATATTATTTTGTAGTTTTTACCCAGTACATGTATGGGAGGGATTTTCACTTGTGGGGTAGTATTGACTGGTTCAGTTGGTTTCATCTTCTGTAAATATTTCATATCTATTAGAAACTGGTACGCTATACATATCACGAGAATCATAAGTTATTTGTCTTTTAGCAGAGTTCTTTTCCAAAATATTGAGTTCATTACTTACATTTTGTTGAGGGGGTTGGCTACTTAGCTGCAATTGTGAAGAATGCTGAAGCTGTGGAACCTGTTGAGAATTTTGTTGTTGCAGCTGCGAAATAGTTATGCGTTGCTCATGAAGATATTGTAGGAACTGTTTTTGTTGGTTTTGCATCATTTTCCATTGTTGCTCTGCCTGAATTAGGCGGTTTTGTTGAGTTTGAAGATCTGATTGCTGCTGGATGACTGTACTGCACTCGGTCATTTCAATGTTTGAATTTACACCACTGTTTGTATTATTTAGCGTTTAGGGCTTTTTTAATTGCTTCCGTTTGAGTTTGTACATGAACACTTGTGATAGCGTGGAGGGCAAGTAGTCTCACTACGGCTTAAATCACTTGGTAGTTATAATGCTCTGGCCGAGAGCATACACTTATAAACACGAACTGATCGCACTTATTGAGTTTTTTATATTTAGCACTTTGAAAAGATATTCGTTAGATGTTTCACTGCACTAGCCACTCTTGGCACTAGCAAGTAGACCACTGCGATGTGAACTGCGATAAGAGAAGAGAAGGGCTGACGCAGCGAAGTGTTCGCCTCGGCTGCTCGAGCCGACCTGGACCTTGTAGTTGAAAAGCAACCTTAAAATTACCTCATTATTACCTCTTTATAACAAATGCTGATGTCAACTAAAGCACTGAAAATTAAAAGAATTGGTAAAAAACACTTTGGGTATATTCGTATGGATGTACCTCCACTTTAATACTTTAGGTACTACTTAAGATAGAGGGTGAAAACATCCCTAATCATGAACCAAAAAGCAGAGGCAGCATATCTACGAAAGATGGACCGCAAAAGGAGACGGACGCATCTGGTTGTTCTCTTAACTTTTTGTCACTTTATCTACTATTTTTAGCGATTTGAATCTATTTAAGTGTGTTTAAGTGCCCACACAAAGACACAGACCAATCAGGACACACACATTATCAGAGGAGGGCAGAATGCCATTAATTCAGGCGGTAACTTTACACCTGAACAACATGTAAACAAATTACAACGTGCCAAAACACTAGCATTGTAGGCTCGACTCTGCCCTTCTGGTAAAACAGACCAACACTATGCAGCTAAATTAAGAAAGCAAACCAACAATAAAACTGCAACTGAGAAAAACAAATGATACAATTTTTTGAAATGAATTTCCTCTTAGCAAAACACTTCACCCGGCATGGTCTCCGAATGAACCATGCTGGAAAACATACAGTCGGCAACAAGCTTGCACAACACATCACCTACTCCAGTCCTCCGCAGTCTCCTGCCAAAAATCCGTCCCTTTCACCTTCCTTACGTTCTCCACCACCCACCCTTATTTCGAATCCACTTACCTCCTCCTCTGATCCTTCTCCCATTTCTCCCACACCCACTACCAATTCTCCTTCACCTGATGCCTCCGTTTTCTCACAACTGTAACTGCTGGGACACACTACAACCTTTGATCACGCACTCGAGGTAAAATGGAATAAATATATAGCTACTACAGCCAGATGCAGTAGAAAAACATCCGAGTAGATTAACATACTGCACCATAATGTTCAATCCCTTTCAAATAAAACTGAGTTTATCGAAGTAGCTCTACAGAGTGATTTAAATGAAATAGATGTTCTTTGCTTACAGAACATTGGTTATTTTATAATGATCCTAACATTTTTCAAATTCCAAACTTTTACCTCACAGGCTATTATTGTAGACAAAGGGAATCACTTAAAGGTTCTGCATATTCTTGCATTTACGTTCGAAATAATATCGATTCTATTTCCTTGACGAAATTAAATGTGTATTCCGTTGAAAATGTTTTTGAAATATATGCAGTACATCTTCCTACGCTAAAAATTATATTACTTTGCAGGCCTCCAACAAAGATAGCAATAGATTATCTTAAGTTCTTAAAAAAATGGAGATATACACAAAATAAAGTCACCAATCGCTCTTTTGAATCCATTGTAGGCGGACATTTTAAAATTGATTTTCTGGTCGAATCTTGCGAGAAAGAGCAGTTTCTCAATTTAAGTCATTCCTTCAGTTTAGATTTTACACTAAATGTATCTACACGGATCACACTAAATTCAAAGAAGGCAATCGATCAAGTAATAATTAACAAAACCACTACTCGATATGAAATTAAAACAAAAGATTTAGGATAAAGAGATCACGATCCACAAATTCTTACCATTATAAAAAATGCGAACACTTGACTCAATAAATAACAACGTATGAGTAGATTATTTACTAAAAGTAAAATAAAATCATTCATCATTTACTTGCTGCAAGAGTCATGGGATGTGGTATACAATACCGTTGACACAAACGATAAATACAATTCTTTTTTTCGACCTTTCATTTCATTTTAACACTTGCTTTCCTCTTCAAAGGAGAGGAGAGTTTTTGAGATATCATTAAAAACAAACGAATTCTTTCTTCCATTTCTAAGCATCATAATTTATTTCTAGGTTTCCTCCTCTACTTTAAAAATACAAATCATTGTTACGGAAAGACATACGACAGGCTAAAATCATGAAACATTACCAAGATATTTTGAACTCAAATAATAAAACAAAAGCAATGTGGAGTATAGTAAAAAATTCGACCAAATCAACTAGTAACATTGTAGAGAATGTTTTAAAAGATAACGATACAAATGTTAACGATTCAGCAACAGTGGCTAGCTTCTATAACCAATACTTTTCGAGAATTGATGCCGATCTCCATAAGGGTCTTCAGCCACAAAATGAAGCATCAGACGATTCCCCAAATATTTCAGGCACGATGTTTGTTTCCGAAACTTCTTCCTATGAATTTCTCAAAATAATTGGTGGACTAAAAAATAAATGTTCGGGCAGTTTAGATGAATTTCGGGATTGTTTATTTAAGGTTTGCGTGCCCACCATTATACTCCCGTTAACTCACATATTTAATGTATCCTTATGCACAGGAATTTTTCCAGATATTTTTAAAACAGCTAAGATTAAGTCGCTTTTCAAAAAAAAAGAAACAAAAATGAAATTCAGAATTACCGGACAATTTCTCTTTTGTCGGTTTTTTCAAAAATATTAGAAAGACGTTTGTACGTACGAATGGAAACATTTCTTAGTAAACACGATGATGTTTTCAGATTGCCAACATGAGTTTCCAAAATAAACATCTACGGGAACTGCCATATTTTCTTTTGCCTCATCCATGGATCAAAACTAAGCACCTATTGGAGTATTTTTAGATCTTTCAAAAGCTTTTAACGTTATTGAGCATAACAATTTACTCTCAAAATTACCTACGTAGTGTTGCTCTAGACTGGTTATGTTCATACTTTTGACAACGATCTCAGAGAGTAGAAATACCTTACTGGAATAATGGCACTTTATGTACACACCATTCTGATTCTTTGCCAATTGCATATAGAGTTCCGTAGAGATCGATTTTAGGGCTTATTCTATTCCTACTACACGTAAACAATATGCCCTTGACGATTAGAAACGCAAGAACAGCTCTCGTTGCTGACGATACGAATATTCTTTTCAATAATGAAACGGTAAATAGTACAATGTCAGATATTTCAAATTGGTTTCGTAATAACAAAAATAATAGTAAATGTGCCATTTCATATAATTAGCTCAGTACTTCACTGAAAATGAACGGCGAGACATTAAAGTCCCAAGTAAAATCTTTTCTGTAGCACTACTGTTTCTATTCAATTAGAGACTATGCCGAGCGTCCAAAAGGAGAGTAATATTAATTTTAAAATGAAATTTAATGTAGTATATTTAATTTGGATTGTAAAGAACCTGTAACAAGTATTGTACTTTAGCTTCTGGGTCAATGACCCCATATCGGTCAGGTTTTCGTCCAGTTTCCCTGATCTTCGAGCAAATGCTGATATGGCCCCATTGTTTTGCTTCTGGACGTAAATGTAACTTCAAATTAACTTCTCCCCATTGCACGTCACACACAGTTTCTTACTGTTTTTACGTAAGTAAATACACAAATAAAAATAAATAAAATTGGAAACGCTACGTTCGAAGAGCGACAATTGGTATTTGTTCATTGAAGGAGCCCGGCAAAGGGAAATAGTAGAATGTGAAATATTTGTTAGAGCACCATTAATGACAAAATACAGAGGCACAAGAAAGAAGACCGGATTGAATTTTTACCACAGATAAATCATCCAGTTAAGGTCAGTAACAAGAAAGAATGCGTTTTATTGCGACAAGAGATTTGCTCACGATTTGCAATAGATTGAAGAAGTTAGTTACACACACATTTACATGGATACACTACCACACATGTCGAGACACTTGTCAGGAGTTTAGGTCTTGTTCCGGTTGGAGCGATGCCCCGCTGGTGGGAGATACCTGGTTGGGAGAATACCGCAAGACGACGGTAGGTCGGCGCAAGATCTCATCATTCAATGAGGGTAGACCGGCGCCACCTCCCGAACAAAAGCAGGCACTACACTTACGGGACTATGACCTCAGTAGTTGACGCGCCAGGAATCATTAAAATCAATTAATCAAGCAGCGTGCAACGTGTGTTTGTGTGTGCGCCGTGGACGTGGAGCGGGACCCGCCGGCTGAGCGAAGCGGAAGCGCGGGCGCCGCTCCTTGAGCTGCTCCTCTTGAGCGCGACCGCCACTCCTCGCCCGTTCACCCCACCCCCGCGCCTCCCTCCTCTTTGCCCTTCCTGCCCCTTTCTTCCCCTCCGCTCCTCTTCCTTTTCCATCCCACCCGGCCACTGTTTCGCTGTGGCGCACTTGCTACCGCTTCCTACGACTGAAAACAGCTTTCATGCCCATGAATTACAGTGAAAGAATGTCAAGGACACCGTCAAATGTTTAGATTTGATGCGGATAAACTACAACACAATGGAGAATGTGTTGTTATCAGGCAGTGGTGTGAATAAGAGTCAATTTTTACGCTCCATGGTTGTTAACCCTGGGGTATAGAAAATGGAATGATGATGATGATGATGATGATGATGGTGATGATGATGGTGGTTGACAGGACGACCAACGCCTGAGGTGGGACTCGAACCCGGTATTTTCTGATCCATGGCCGCTCTGGCACTATTGCCTTAACGATCTCAGCCATCTACCGTCTTGTGACTTTTTGTTTTTATACAAAATTGTTAATTTTTCATTATTTCTAATTCATTATATTTGAGGACATTTTTTATATATTTTGTATTACTATTCAAAAATGTATTAATATACAATAA